TACGGTCGCATCGGGTAGAAACGGGTGGAGTTTTGTTTCGGTCCTTTTTTTGTTGGTCCTTTTCTTTTTTTTGACTCCCACGTCCTGTTATTTACACAGGATGCTGGCTGCATGTGTCGCCCCGCTGTGGTGCCGTGCACAATTTTCGCTGATTTGACTTTTGGGCCCCGCGTCTTATTTTCCGCACAAGATGCTGGCTGCGTCTGTCTCCTGCTGTGGTGTGCCCACCGCTCGTTGACGTCTCTCATTTACACTTGCTGCTGTTGTTGTTGTCGGTCATTGTAGTTGTAGTTGTCGTTGAAGTCGAAAACGTAATGTAGTTGAAGCTAAACTCCTAGTTGTCGTTGTCGCAGTTGTTGTTGCTGTTGTTGTTGTGGTCGTTCTGGTTGTGGTTGTGGTTGTGGTTGTGGTTGTGGTTGTGTTGGTGTTGGTGTTGGTGTTGGTGTTGGTGGTGGTGGTGGTGGTGGTGGTGGTGGTGGTGGTGGTGGTGGTGGTGGTGGTGGTGGTGGTGGTGGTGGTGGTGGTGGTGGTGGTGGTGGTGGTGGTGGTGGTGGTGGTGTTGGTGCTGTTGGGTTGATGATGGTGTCGTTGCTGTTGAAGTTGTAGTAGTTCTTGTTGTTGTGGGTTAGTAGTTGTCGTTGTACGCAAGTTGAAGATGTTGTTGACATTGATATCGTCATTGTCGTGCTTGTGTTTTTGCTGTTGCTGCTGGTGTTGTTGTTGTTGTTGTTGCTGTGGTGGGTGTGGTTGTTGTGGTTGTTGCTGTTGCTGTTGCGGTTGGGGTTGTGCTTGTGGTTGTGGCTGTGGCTGTGGCTGTGGCTGTTGTTGTTGTTGCTGCTGTTGTTGTTGTTGTCGTTGTTGTTGTGGTTGTAGTGGTTGTTGTTGTTGTTGCTGTATCCTGTTAAAGCAACACAACTTGGACTAGCTTGGACTAGGATTTGTCAACTGGGCTCAATGACGAAGACCCAATCAGCCTGAAACTGTCGTTGCTCTGTTTCGCAGCACCCAGCCGCTTACATCAGCAGTCATTGAAAGCATGTTTGGTACCGACCGCCGACTTCTGTGTCCAAACAAGCTCGTCAGAAACCTAACTTCGCCTGGGTTTGGATTTGGGCCGACGAAACTGCAGAGGTGTCTATCACTGATACGCCAGCGGGCAACACTTGCGGTCGCAATGTATATGTGTATATAATGCGTATATACACATATATATATATATATACTTCTGGAGAGCAACCCCGGTGTTTATAAACAGACCTCGTGTTGAACAACAACTCATACTTGATGTTATAAATTATTTTCTGCCATCCAAAGCAACAACATACACGTACACCCGCAGTGCAATCACTCGAAACATACAAAACCACTCGAAACATACAAAGCCACTCGAAACATAGTGGGTTGCCAAAACGCAGGCCCCACAGCCTCCTCTTCTGTATATATATATATAATATAATATAATATAATATAATATAATATAATATAATATAATATAATATAATATAATATAATATAATATATATATAATATAATATAATATTCATATACATACGCATCCTTCCTTCCTTCCGGGGTTCTCCATTCGTTCCGTTTTATCTTCCTTCCTTCCTTCCTGTCTTGCTTCCTTTTGTTCTCCTTCCTTCCTTCCTTTCCTCCTTCCTCTCTTCCTTGCTTTTTCCTTCCTTCCTTTCTCCTGGCATTAGCTCCTTCTTTCCTTCCTTCCGTCCGGGGTTCTCCGTTCGTTCCTTATTATCTTTCTTCCTTTCTTTCTTGCTTCCTTTTTTCTCCTTCCTTCCTTCCTTCCTTCCTCCCTTTCTTCCTTCCTTCCTTCCCTCCTTCCTTTCTCTCTTCCGGCATTCCTTTCTTCGATCCTTCCTTCCTTCATTGCCTTCGAAGGGACCCCTACAGCAAAAGGAAAAAAACGCCTTCCGGTAGAAACTGTAAGCACTCGGGACCACGTCTTGGAAGGTTAAAGGCTTTCGGCTTCAAGGGCTGGATCACGAGCAACCTCCAAGACCATGTCGCTGTGAAGACAACTTCTCATGTCTGAACAGCATTCACCGTTGTCCATTGAGCACAAGACGACATCCGGATGTCACGAGGTGATGGAATGCGAAACACTGGTGGATTTGATTACGATGGGTTTCGAATCGGTCCTCAGGGGTCAAATACGCAAACCTAGCTCCTTAGTTCTGCCGGCTGCGATCTGAGAAGCATCAAACCCTAACAACCCGGAATGGGAGACCTACCGGCTCCCTATACTTTGAAGCAGCGACCAGACGGAACACTTGGAGAAACTGCTGAACCAGCCAACACAACCTTCGAGAAAGTGAACAGAATGGAGATAGTGAAGCCCCCTCCCGCCTGTGCCAAATGCATTTCTGCAGCACCAGGTTGGCACAGCGACCTTCATCCGGCTGTGTCACCCCCTTCCCCGGCATCCTACAAACAACAGCACCAGCACCACGCCTTCGCAGCAAGATCAAACGCAAAGCCACGAAGCCCGGAACCCCAAAGAACTGAAGTTTTCAGCTTGAAAACCGCGGTGCGTAGTCACTTAGTCCCCAGTCCCATAGCTAGAGCATCCCGGGTTCTTTAGCTGCCATCAAGCTCAAACCCCAGAGATAAGATAAAGCGAGCACTGACATCGGCCGACTCACTGCACCAAGTCACAACAGCAAGGGCCCAAAGCCAGGCTGTGCCTCCTCGAGCAGTTTGAGTTTGGAGATTCAAAGACTTGAGCTGTTGATGTTTGGAAAAAGGAAGGGTGGTGTTCTCCACAACCGACGGTGAATGGCCGACTCTCCGAGCTTTGGGGCTGGAAGGGCATAATGGCATAATACATGGCTGAAAACATGACCTGCAGAACCATCAGCAAGAATCTGCCATTTACTGCAGAAGGGGAAAGTACTACTCCCAGAAGTTGCAGCTTTCCTGCCCTTGCCAAGGCACAGCTTCGAGCAGAGACGCCGCCGCGGCCACCATGTTGGGGCCCGGCTGGTGCCTCTGACAGGAAGTCTTGAGGGTGCACTAGGTGGTGGTGGTAACTCGGGTTGTGCACTGGGGGGGGGGGGCTGTATCAGGACCCAGGCTTTCCAACTGCAGGACTTTAGCAACCTACTACACGCACAGATACATGCATGTGTCGACCGATATCTTTCTGTCACTTCTGTCTACCGACCGTTTGTTCGATCGTACAGACGGTCATACATACTTCATTTGCGCGTTGCCAAGTTCGGAGTCTCTGCGAACGATGCTGGGACAAGACGCATTCGCGCCCCGGCGATCCGCTGTGACTATTGTCACATCCCGCTGCTCCGGCTCCGGTGCGAACACCCTTCAAGCGAGGCCACTGGCCTGTTCAAAATCGCCTGTTCAAAATCGGCTCGATGAAGGAAAACACATACCAGTTCGAACCATAACCATCAAGCTCATCGATGCCACAGACCCTGCAAGCGATGCTGTGAAGGTACGTGTAGAACACGTCTTATTCGAGCACTATGGCCATGTAATGGCCACTGTCCGGGGTGTCACCGAAATGGAGTGCAACCGATTTCAGCTGATAGCAGAGATGTGACACTTCGACATCTTCATGTTGAAAGATCGGAATGCGCACAGCACGATCAGGCAGAATACGATACTTCAACTTACGAGTCCTCCCCCTGTGGGAATCAAAGTGAAAGCGGTTGGCCTGCATGGTCAACCAACTGCTGAAGAGTAACACACGACACACTGCCATCCATAATGCCACTAGTTGGTAAAAGACCCAGAGGAATCGAAGTCCCCCATCACGCGGTGCACAACTCCATTTTCTTGGGCCATACATACAGACATACACACACATACATATCTGCGTAGGTACATAGCTACATACCTACATACCCAACTTACATACCGACTTACCTACATACCTACATACATGCACACATGCATGCATACTGTACTGTACACATACTTACTGTCTTGTTTACCTTACCTACTTTCGTTCCATGCATACCAGAAAACATGCAACGAGACAAGCAAACCAGGAGTCCTCATTCCGTGTCTCTCTCACCCCGGGCCGCAATAAAACAAACGGAGATCAGAAACTTGCTGAAAGCCCCAGATCCCCCTTCGGACAAATGAAATAACTCCTACCTGTGGCTCCAAAATGAAGCCAAACGGGGAAGCCGGGATTCCATAAGCACGAGTTACGCCGCCGCAAGCATCGGGGCCAGTTGCGCCATGGCTTATCACACATGGCGGGCAGAGCCCTCTGCGACAAGCACAGTCACGGAGCCCCGGCTCAGGGGGTTTTAGGCGGGAGGGCTTCAGTCACAATCTGGGTGCGGATTTGGGTGTCTATGGTTATGGTTGGCTGAGGTTTGGGGTTAGCGTGGGTTAGCGGGCTTTAAGCCCTGCATGGTCATGCTCACAACACAGCGTTCCAGAACGCAACGGAGCCGGCGGGCACCAACCTACAGAGTGCTTGCTGACCCCCGATGTTGTTATGTCTTTGAATCTGCGGTTTCGGGTTCAGGGTTAAGCTCAGCCCTGAGCCCGAGCGGTTTTGTTTAGTAGCTGTTCAGGACACCCTGCCTCGAAATTCCAACGGCCGCTGCCCTACACAGGTTGGAGACCACCGCGGCAGCTCCGATCTGTTTTTCATGTGTTCATCTGGGCGTCAGAGCAGCCTTGATCCCCCAATCCGAAGCAGCCTCCACCAAGTTTCCTAGCATTTCCTAGCAAAGGTTGCACCGCTCCAGATGGACTCTAACATACCGGAAGCGACAAACCCTGAACAACGTTCTCTACGATTTGTTGTCTCAGCTGCGCACGAGGCCCTAGAGCCCAATCGCTGATCAAGTTCCCTAGATTCCTATCCCAGCCGCATGTCCACAGATTCAAGAGACCTACATAGACCTGCCAAACCATCCAGAACCATTCGCCCTAAACTCCCACGCTCTTGTTGCGGTGCAGAACTCTAGCTCAACCCTCGACGCGCGAGTCTCTGTCCGAGCCTTCTTCCAGTGTGTCCTTCCACGCGCCGAAGCCTTGGTTCTTGCTCCTCTACAGGATCCGCCCCTAAGCGTGAGGCCACCACAATCCGACCACAAGCAACTGGAGAAGCTGCGTGCGCCGGTAAGCCCTAGGTAGCCAGAGATAGAGATACCATGTACTATGGATGCATTATGCCATATCCTAACCGTCCTAACCCTGCAAACAGCAACCCGACGACTCTAAACCCTACTCCCTTGAGACCACACCCGACGCCCCTAACCCCAAGCTTGTAACCAGCGTCGCTCTTGAGCACCTGGCATTGACCCAAGACTTGGCCAAGCAGCGCACCTTGAAACAGCAGCTGCGATCGGAGGCTTCTTGCTTCTGCTTCGCGCTTTGCGTGCCCTGTAGGGCCCAGGGCAAGCGTAGCTATACTAAAATCTGTTTGATCGTTTGCGTCCGAGGAGGTGAGGAAGCTTGTCATTGCGACTGCCGAGCACCACAGTAGGGTCCAGGATCTAACGTCGAAGGCTTGGAGCCTCCATCAGAGCTGCTGCGGGGTTCAGGAGACTTGGACACTGCTGCCAGCACAGAAGACGGATCACTCCAACTTGTAGGGCGTTCAGTTTCACCTGCATCTCGGACCCTAGAACTCATCTGGCTTTGGATGTCAGCATGACGGGTTGAATATGCACGGTGCACGAGGTCGGCATAACGCCCGGTGAAGTCTAGAATTTACACTCGTTGGTGTTGATGTATGTCCATGCATCCAGATTCATCTTTTGCCTGCACCATATGTATACACAACCTGTCGTTTTTTCTGGTCCAACCTATCCTGAGCAATGTATCTGCTCTGCCTAAACTCTTCAACGAGCCGGGCTGACTGAACTTCTGGAGGCGCTCCTGGACATGCTTCTCGCGAAGCGCCTGCCCAGAGAAAAACAGAGTCCCCGTGTCGTGCGCGAAGATGCGAGCCGAGGGTGAAAGATTTAGGCCTCACGGCCTTGATGGGCCGCATGAGAGAGAGAGAGAGAGAGAGAGCGAGAGAGAGCGAGAGAGAGCGAGAGAGAGCGAGAGAGAGCGAGAGAGAGCGAGAGAGAGCGAGAGAGAGCGAGAGAGAGCGAGAGAGAGAGAGAGAGAGAGAGAGAGAGAAAGAGAGAGAGGAGAGAGCGAGAGAGAGGGAGGGAGGGAGGGAGGGAGAGAGAGGAGAGAGAGGAGAGAGAGAGAGAGGCGTCTCTATGCAGATATGTGCATATACAAGCACAAAGACTTCGTGATCCTGTCAGCTGTGCGAAGATTGATGCGCCTGCGTTGTGCGCACCCATAACACTGAACTTCTAAACTGAACAGACCATCCATTCACCATTCGCCTTTCTTCAGCCCAAGCACCGCAAAAGCAAGCCTCCTTTTCTTCGTGCTGCATCTCATTTCGCGCTTTCAACTCCTCGTACCTGCGCACCGTGGCAAAGGCAAACCCGTTTGAGTCCCGAGAACAGAAGACTGTGACACTGGCAAGTTCCTAACCAGCCGTTGGACAGGCGGCGACTGCTGAACGGAGACAGGAACGCTCAAGATGCGGCATTGTTGCATTGTTGAGCAGTAAGCTTGAAGCCCTGAGTCGTGGATTCAAGGTGTTGAGTAGAAGGAGCAGCCAAACGTTACTGCAATGAGCACTGCGCAAGATTCAGCAGTTTAATCTCCAATCTGCTACATTAAGACGGACTAGATGCCATGAAACGCTCATGACTGAGAACCGAACAAGTTTGCGATGACCTGCTTTGAAGCATCCCACGTCGGGTCTCCTACGACACCTTTTGGCCATGAGCATGGCCATGTAGCAGACACGCCTTGAGGTCATGTCCTCGATCTTTGTCTGAAGGACCTGCAAGTTAAAACTGAGACTAGTTGGGAGATTTCCGTTTCCTTTCATCAACTCCTTCCAACCTCGACATGGTAAACTCGTAGCACTGAGTCCCTAAACCCGAAACCCAGGAATGAAAAATCACAAACCATCAAACTCACTCTGGATTCTATCTGAACCCTCAAGCTGGACCCGAAAACCCCTATACTGTAGAGCCCGAAAGCCTGACCGCCTCACCGGACCAGAAGTTCCCATATTCTCTAGGTTGTGAGAGGTCGCCCGCGAAAATGAAGAAAGTCTGGGAAGAACGGTGCAACACCCGATGAGCTTCCGGCGGACCGCGACCAATCTAACCTGGGAGTGCCATCTGTCATGTACAAACCTCCAAGAAACCCTTGCAGTCTTGCGGTGCTATGACTGATTCAAGTTGTACAACACCTTCTGGTCGCATCTGCGGCTCTGAATTTGGAGTGTAGAGAGACGTATGTGGATACTGCAACCACCTGGACAGCCTTTTTGTCCTTGCAACGTACTGATCATGGCCTGATCTCTATTCTAATTCGCAAGCTGCCTGACCTCTAGCTACTCTAGCTGTCACCCAGCTTCTCCGCTCGCCTGTTGCAGGTGCATACAGAGCAAACAGTTCAAGCTCGAACCTTCGCCGACTTGTTCAACGAAAGGAGCTTCTGTCAGGGAACCGGACCCTGAGCTTTGACTTGTGAAAGCAGCAAACCTCTATTTACCTGTAAACCCTACGCCCCATTTTGCACAGACGCTCGACCACACACGAAACATGAGAAACCCCGACACCACATGATGCCTCACAGCCTTCGCCAATTTTATATGAACCCTGATCCTAATCTTTCAAGCCGGAGACCTATGCCTTTCTGGATAAATCGTCGACCTGCGCCCGGCACTCCGCAACTTTGGCCCAGCCAGGCGCACCCGAACGATTGGGGGGTCGGCCAGCATTTGAGAACCCTTTTGACAAGCTCAGAGCCTTTTTGTTGCTGGGTTTGGGGCTGTGGATTCTGCACACTTTGGTTCATGTTCTACCTTTTAAAGCCATGATGAGCCGTTTTCGGAATTGCCAGTTGTCTATGCGAGACACAATCTTGGACCATTGCTACGAAATATGTCCTGGCTATTCTGTGCCCCGCAAGAATCTTGAGCCTCCGTAGCTGCTGGACTTACTCCCCAGAATCTTGTTCAACAGTCCCTTCGGGGACTGAATTCGCATCACAGTGTGGGCAAATGGTGAGGTCTGTGTGCTGCGAGAGTTTGTTGTGGATGTGGCTCTGAAGTGGTTATGGATGCAAGGGCGACGCGGCAGTTCCGGGATGCAGGATTGTGGTAGATTTCATGGGTATGATCCTGGCACCCTATCCTCGGAAACTTGCCCTCTTCGGCTTGCCCCACTGAGATTGGCCTTCTCATTCCGAGCGCCAAAACGTGTCACACCGACACTCCGCAGTCACGTGGATCGTAGAAGACAGAATGAGCCGGCAAGACGACAAAGCTTGAGAAAGCTCTACCAAGTCCACATCGGCTGTTACCGAACCGAGACATGGACACTTCCGAATGCTGTCGTGAATTTATCGGTCTCACCAAGCTGACATTCCAAACACCGTGGCTAGATGCAGCCAGCTGACTCCAAAAGACTTGCGTGGCCAAGGCATCGCGAGTCACAAACAGGCAAACCGATGCGACAACCCCTGCAAGCCACAAACACACGCGCGCACAACCACAAGAACTGCAACGGCGGCAGCAACGGAGCAGCAGAAGGACCTGCAGCAGCCCTAGCAGCCAGATGATGGCAGCGACAGCAGCAAATACCGGAAGCCTTTGCATGGAGACAATGCGCCTGGGGCGCGACAGCACTCAAAAAACATCAGCATAGAGACGAAAACACGTGACGATGAGAACAACAAGCGAGCTCAGAGCGCGAAAACCGCTCTTAGAAACAACCCGGAGCTGACACGGCGCGTTGCGTCGGCTCCCCATCTCCCCCCCCCCCTCCCATTTTTGTGAGTCGGCGTTACGAGATATTACGTCTCAAGGGGGCACCCGGCTGCACGGCTCACTCTGTCCCAGGAAGGTTGAAAGCTAGGACGGAAGAACATCGGGGTCATAGGGCACGGCTTGAAGTTGAGGGAGCTTGAAATCAAGCAACACATTGACATGACTGATTCAGGCTCTGTTCTTCCGACCTAGTGAGGGAGGCTTGCTCACTGGCCTCCATGTGCGATCGTCTCTTGACGAAGTCTAGCAAACAAATTCTGTCGAGGCTGCAAATTCCCGAGAGCGCTCCAGGCCTTTGCACTTTTGATGCTTCCGGCTTTAGCACTCAGGTGTCAGGACCACTCGTAAACCAATCAAGCCACAAACTCCCCAATAAGAGAACACACCTTAATCCCCCCTGTTCCTAGTTACCCCTCAACCTAAAAATGGCAAGCTTGAGGCCTCTAAGGCGCTGCACCGTCCTAAAGCAAGACTGAGGTTTCGGTCTTACAGCTCTGTCTTCTATGTAGGGCTTGAAGAGATGAGATGCTCGCAGGAAAATGAAGTCTCGACTCGAGCTCAGAATACGGTCCCAACTTGACGGATTCAGGTGACGCACACTTGTCGGTCTATCGCCTAACTTGTGCTAGGTGGACTGCTTCGCCGGACTGAGACACTCGCATGAATTTCTGTGCATCTTCTCGCAGTAATTAGGGGCAAAAGCCGACCCCTGGCCCCGCCGAGACGCAACTTCTACCAAATCTCTACGGAATGCCTGGCAAACTTTCAGCTGCCAGTTTTGCCCCAAGACCTAGAGGCCCCTACACGTCCACACTGCATGTACGAAGTTCTGTTTGTGTTTACGAGCATGAAGATACAATGCATCAGCTCGTCGTCCGACAAACCCCGGCTAATCGGCTGGGTCCTATGTTTATGACGTATCAGGAAGAAACGCCTGAATCCGACCGGGACCTGTCCGAAAAACGATGCAAGTAGGTACAACTCAAGTACCCATCTGATTGGAACGAGCCAGGCAATTTCTGACTTGTTGGCGGCTATACAGGTCATCGCGCCACTCATGAGTTTAGTCAAACTATCTCACCCAGTCCAATCCATCCAAGCGGAAGCCTCTATTTCTACTGTGTGTGCTACTGCCGCAACTAGGTGCCTACAATCTACTGCTGCTGCTGCTGCTGCTGCTGCTGCTGCTGCTGCTGCTGCTGCTGCTGCTGCTACTGCTACTGCTACTGCTGCTACTCCTACTGCTACTGCTACTGCCACTCCGACTGCTACTCCTACTGCCACTGCCACTGCCACTGCTGCTGCTACTGCTACTACTACTACTACTACTACTACTACTACTACTACTACTACTACTACTACTACTACTACTACTACTACTACTACTACTGCTGCTGCTACTACTACTACTACTACTACTACTGCTACTACTACTACTACTACTACCCCTGCGACTACTACTACTACTACTACTACTACTACTACTACTACTACTACTACTACTACTACTACTACTACTACTACTACTACTACTGGTACTAGTACTACTGCTACTACTGCTACTACTGCTACTACTACTACTGCTACTACTACTGCTACTACTACTACTACTACTACTACTACTACTACTACTGCTAGTGCTAGTGCTACTGACACTGCCACTGCCACTGCCATTACTCCTGCTACTACCGATACTGCTACTGCTACTAAAGCTACCAGTACTTCTTCTTCTTCTGCTTGAATCATCTACCACCATGTACGGCCGTCAAGTCAGCAGTTGCCTGGGTGTGTGCCGACTCTTCGGCTGGTCCGACGTGGGGACCACTTCGGATTTCTCCCTCCTGGGCCGCGACGTCATAGGCTTTTGGCTTTTGGGCTTTGGGTGGAGCTTCGAGTTTGGGGATTAAGGCGCACCTACGTATGATATCGTATGATGGTGTCGATCTGTACTTTCAGATCTTCGATTCGACGAAATCCGTTACAAGCAACATTGTTGGCACTTCCAAAACCGAGACTTGACTCGTCAGCAAACTTCACAGGCTTTCAGACAAGGCTCACAGCTCGGCACTGCAACTTCGCACTTACACGAAATCTTGCACAGCTCAAGGACTAAAGCCTCTGGCTTTGTGGAGGCTACGGCTCCGACTGGAGAAGGCCCAGCAGGCACCACCTGGTACTCATGATTCCTGAAGCGAAACGATTAAACGACCTAGGCCAGGCTTGGGCTTCGAGGGCTGCCCTGCATCCTCAGCCCAACGTAGCAAAGCCCTGGACATCTGCAACCAAAATCCTGGAGTCATCTGGACTCCCCATGGCCCATCGTGTCCCTAAAGTTCACTTCACTTTCAGCTCCAAGGCTCCAGTTTAGAGAGGTGCGAACTGTAGCCAAAGCAGCGGCCCACATCGTGGTTGGAATGGTTCAGCTTGAACCTCGGCATCCCCCCCCGGCGCGGTGGTCTTGGGGCTATAATGCAGAGATCGGGAGCCGGGGCAGCCGGGAGACCGCTCCAAAGTTCTCCCCGTCTTAGGGAGCGTTGGCCGCTGCATTGGGGGCGCCAGGGCAGAGGCGCCAGCCGCCCTCCGTGACGCTCTCGTCGGTGGACCACGACAGAGCCTGTCTGGGGCTTCTGCAATGCTGCGACCCCCTGCATGGCATGTTGGAGAAACCTTCATGATTGACATTGCTTTCTTCATTCGGGCTATCAATTCTGTCGGGGTCGTGATTGCTGCTGCGGTAGCACTGCTCATGCAAACCACACTTGCCGATCTTGCCGAGATTAGACGCACTTACCGCAAGTGAGCTTCAAAGTCGTTCCAGGTTACCTTCACTTCCGACAGGGACGTACCAAACCTGTCACGCTTCCACCATGTGGCAGCCAGTAGCTGTTCGAAAGGCCTTGCACCGAAACCCTCTGCTCAACAAAATGATTTCCGAACTGTCTCCTTGTCCTATGCCAATGCATGTTTCCATGATGCTGACACTTGCAGCTGAACCACAAGTTCATGCCAAAGCGCAATACCGAAAGCCCACAAATATCGAAGTAAGGGATCTGATCAAGAAGTGTGAGCTCATGCACTCGAACCTCAGGGTTTCGGGTTCACTCAATCTAGACCTCAACACCTGCTTAGGGTATTACATCGATCTGATTCGACTCGGACCACGATGTGTTCTCCTACATCGGGACTTTAATGTGGGCATATATATATATATATGTATATATATATATATATATGATCATGGAGGAGATCTGGAGGGGCGAAAATAGGGTCGTCTTTCACGTCAGCCATAAATTCTAATCCCACACCTGACCTCTAACCACACTACAGCCTAA